GCCCTAGTGCTTTAGGTAAGGAACTAATCAAGACACCTGCCAAGGAGGTGGGCAGCAGGGGTTCCTATCAGGACCACAGGTTGGGAAGCCTCAGGACTCTGGTCATCATGTGGGGAGTTGGTTCCATATTTCAGTGTGTGGGGGGAGACTGACATCTGGGTGTATGCCTGTTCCCCATCCTGTCACATGGCACTTAATGGGCAGATAGTTCTGTTAGGGATCTAGCCTACATCTGAAAGCACTTTCACTTCCACACTTTCAACTGGACTCTAACAAGAATCCTATGAAGTAATCAGAATGGGAGCGATGACCCCATTTGGCAGAGAAGACAACTGAGAAGAAAGGCTCAGAAAAATCCGTGGGCATGGAGCTGAAGCACGGGCGTTGTGCTTCTGGCTCAGCCACTCATGGTGTGACCTCGAGCAGGTCTCTTTCCCTTTCCAGGCCTCGGTTTTATCATCTGTGAAATGAAGGGAATGAATAAGATGATTGTGAGGCCTTCTTACAGATCTCTTCGTAAGCTGCACAAGGAAAAGGCTTTGCCCGTGGTCATGCAATTAGTGAGGTGAGTAATGATGATACAGAGAGACATGCTTCCCAAGCTGCCTCTGTGGAGAGACAGCCATTAGAGCACCCCACTGCCACCACTGCCATATCCCTGACAGTGTGGGTTGCTGGGGCCTCTAGTTCCCTCTGGACACCACAAGGACCAAGACTGCCAGGGGTGGTGTGGTAGGGGACATGTGCTCAGAATGCGCTCTGACTGTGACTGGAGCCCCAGTGCTCCCAGCTGCTCATTAAAGAGAAGACAGTTTCCTCTGGCACCTCCTTCACCAGACAAACACAATGGGCACCTACCTGTGCCAGACTCCATGCTAGAGGAGGGGATGTGCAGGTTCATGAGACTTACTGTCCACCCGCGAGAAAGTCATGATGAAGACAGTGAGATTCCAGCTGCTGCTTAGTGCTAGGTGGGTCGTGCTTGGCCAAGGGACCAAGTCCAGCCCCCATTGGGTCACAAAGCCTATCACAGGCACTGAGCTGAATCAGCCTGCAAAAAGGGGGCACCTTTTTTTGTAACTCACACCAAGGCACTAGCTGCAACCCAGGTGAGCATAATCTCTTCAAGGTGAGTGCAGGACCCATAAAACTTTAGAAGGGGTTACATTTAGAGCAGTTCACATGTAAACATCCTCCACCATGCACACCAGGGGGAGTCGATGCACACATCTCACCCCAACCAATCCATTGGCTGGGAGAATTATGTGCTCTCTTTCTTTTTCTCCCTCTGATTATATAGATATATATATATTTATATTTATATTAGAGGCCTGTTGCACGAAAAGATTCGTGCAATAGGCCTTCCCTTCCCCTGGCTGCCGGTACCAGTTTTCCTCTGGCACCCGGCACCCAGGCCTTTGCTCCAGTTGGAGCCACCTTCAATGCTTTCGCTGCTCCACTTCGCACCTACATATGCAAATTAACCGCCATCTTTGTTGGCGCTTAATTTGCATATCTCGCTGATTAGCCAATGGGAGGCATAGCGAAGGTTTGGTCAATTACCCTGTTTGTCTATTATTAGAATATATATATATATATATATATATATATATATATATATATATATATCCCCTATATAATAAAAGGGTAATATGCAAATTGATCTTAACAGCAGAATGACTGGGAATGACTGGTCACTATGACACACACTGACCACCAGGGTCAGACGCTCAATGCAGGAGCTGCCCCCGGTGGTCAGTGCGCTCCCACAGGGGGAGCTCTGCTCAGCCATAAGCCAGGCTGATGGCTGCCAGTACAGTGGTGGTGGTGGGATCCTCACCCACCTCCTCAGCAGCGCTAAGGATGTCTGACTGCAGCTTAGGCTTGCTCCACACTGGCAAGTGGACATCCCCTGAGGGCTCCCAGGCTGCCAGAGGGATGTCTGACTGCCAGCTTAGGCCCAATCCCCCGGGGAGCAGGCCTCAGCCAGCAGGTGGTCATCCCCAGAGGAGACCCAGACTGCAAGAGGGCACAGGCCGGGCTGAGGGACCCCCCCCGAGTGCACAAATTTTTGTGCACTGGGCCTCTAGTGTGTATATATTAGCTTCCATTATACATGCTTAAATTGCACGCTAATTTTTCACCCATTTAAGATTTGAAGGCATATATTTTAATGCTCCTCCCTTGTATGTGCTTTCTTTCTGAGAGTCAAATCTTCTAACCACATGGAATCAATGAACTCAACTAGCTTCCTATCAGTAATGTGCTGGTAAATGACTAGTCTTCCATCTGTTCAAGGCAGCCAACCAAGTCAGCTGGCCATGTTTCAGGCACAGTTATTAGACTCTCTGGAGGAAATCAAGATAAACATGAGACGGCCCACAAGGAACCAAGGGGCTCTCAGCCTAGAAGAGCACAAAAGGCACAGACACAAATAAATACCCGTAAGACAGAGCAGAGCATGGTCGTCGGTGCTAGAAGATCCGGGCTCTGGGATGGGGAGAAAGCGATATGGAAATTCAAAGGAAGGAAAGATCAATTCCCACCAGGGATCCAGAAAGCCTTCATGAAGAACACGGCTCACGGAAAGACCACCCATCAAGACACAAGAAGGCCCAAGTTCCAGAGCCCCTTCGACCACTGTTGGCCAAGGAAGCTTGAGAAAGCCAGGTCTCTGTTTTAAAATGGACCCTTTTTCTAAGTGCCTCCCAGCAGTCTGAGGATTAGATGAGAACGGACTCACTAAATGCACTTCATGTAAATAAAAGCATCAAATGTCAAGCCTCCGTCATCACTCAGGGAAGAGAAGGGAGGAAGCTAAAAGCAGAAGGTAATGAGGGAGGAGGTGGGTGAGGGTAGGTGGCCCCTGCCAAACACAGGACTGACGTGAACACCTACTAGCTTGCAAGTGGCTCCAGTGATTTTTTTTAAAACTCCAATAGCTGATTTGATTGAAGAGAGCCCACCAAGAGTAAGGCAGAGCAGTACACTCCCCTGCATCAGGAAAAGGGAAGTCCCATTCAGAGACACGGCTCCCTGCCCTGTGTAATGCGGTAACAGCTGCTCACAGTCAGCGGGCAGCGACCCTCCCAGCTCCCAGCGCGGGGCCTGGGCCCGGTGGACACTCAGAAAACACTCAAGAAATGAACGGATGGGGTCCTCACTCCTCTCCAAGGGGCTTTACGTTTATCCTCCTCTTTTATTCATAACCACAAGCCAGAGGGACAGACAGGGCGTGTGTTATCAACCCTGTCAAGAAGGGGAAACTGAGGCTCTCAGGCGGGGAGCGTCCACATCCCAACTTAACACCATCAGAAACGAGCCCAGGTGTCTGCCTCCCCACATAGCGCCCCTTCCTCGCACCGTGCCCCTCCGAGGAATTGTTACTACAGCCAATCTTTGCCCCAGATCACCTCCCTTGGCTGTCCCTGAGGGACTGTTCTGAGCGGAAACACTTCACTTACTCAGGCTCTGTAATCAAGGGAGGTCCTATTATTATTCCCAGTGTACTGGATTATTCCAATCAGAAGGTGATTTTGTGTAACAGAAATAAGAGTGTCATGGACTCTCTTACTACCAAATAAAAACTAATTTGGGTTAAACTCTTTGGTTCAATTGCTTGGAGTCATTGCTCCTTAGAGGACAGAGAGGGTAGAAACAGCACCGGGCATTAGGGTGACAAGAAGATGTTTTTGTTTGTTTGTTTGTTTGTTTGTTTGTTTACCACGGACACTCCTGCCTACAGAGTCGGCTGTCAGTTCTGACAGATGGCCGGGCTGTAGGAGGGGAGCACAGGGCAATCTCAGGGCTAAGGCGGCACCAAGGAGCTAGAGCCAGGTGAGCGGATTTGGGCTCTGAAATCTGGGCTGGAGCCCAAGTTCCAGCCTGTGAGGGTGGGACAGGGAGCCCTGCCTCCCTCTCCCCCAGACACCCTCCCGCCTCAGCTGCACCAGGCAGGCCAGTGCCTTTCTATGCATCTGTGACCTTCTGGCTGCAGGCAAATTGAGTGCGAAGCATGTTCAAGGTCGGAGCTACCCTTCCCTTTCATGACCCACCCTAGCCCTTTGGCTGATAACGGTTTATGGTGCACCTACTTCCTAGAGGATGTTTTCATTCTAATAAAAATGTGTGGCACGAAGGTGTGGGCTGGAGGCTGGAAATGACACTCACCCCCCAGCTCTGGTGCAGGGAACCTGGTGACGTGTGCTCAGGCCGAGCTGCTCAGAGGCTCCCCTAAATGGCAGGAACCAGGGGTGAGGGGAATAGAATGTCAGAGAACTTCCAGCTCCTAAAGGGAGCAGTGCATTAGGTAAGAAGAGGTCTAGAGGAGTGTCAGTATGTCCTCCAGATGGCAGGGTCAGCTCTGATCTCTGCATTTAGCCACCCACCACATGGGCTCTCAACAGTACCACCCAGACATCCATGCTTCATCACACTCGGGGACCAGGGCATTGTGGGACCTGGGAGAGCTGAGCCATTTGTTGGATAATGGACACTGAGGATGAGTTGATCAGATGAACTTGTCCACTGACAGAGAGAATGGGACACAGAGTGGGTCAGCTTTGTTGGGGGGAGGAGGAGGAGGAGGAGGAGGAGGAGGAGGAGAAGAAGGAGAAGGAGGAGGAGGAAAGATGAACCAGCACCTAAGGCTGGTGTGGTGGAAGCCTCATTAGGGTTTGCTAGAGGCAAATTCACCAGCTGCACAATTTTAAAGTCACAGAGTTTGCAACTGGAAGAAATCTTAGCGATAATCCAGTCCAACCTGCTCTTGCACAGCCTAGGGTTATTGGTCGTGGCCACATGGCAGAGCCAAAATCAAGAACCCAAACCACCCCCTCAACAACTGTTCGGGCCAGTGATCTTTCTAGCACCCTCCAGCCTCCCCCAGACACAGACCCCAGGCCGCTGATTCCCAGGGAGCTAGGGATACCCTCTGGAACACTGCCCGCTTCCTGAGGAGCCCATGGGCCACCCCTATCCGCCTTTCCGGCCAGACATACCTTGTGGGAATAATGCTGATCGACGATCCTCGCCAAGCCGAAGTCCCCGATCTTGAGCACGAGGTCCTCGGTGCTGATGAAGATGTTGGCGGGCTTCAGGTCCCTGTGCAGCACGTTGGCCGAGTGGATGTACTTGAGCCCGCGGAGCAGCTGGTACATGAACAGCTTGGCGTGCTCCTCCGCCAGCGTGCCCTGCTCCAGCAGGCGGGCCAGGTCGGTCTCCATGTACTCCTGCACGATGTAGGCCACGCTGAACTTGAACAGCTCGCCCTGCAGGTTGGCGCCCTTGGGCCCCAGCACCTCGTACACCTTCACGATGTTGTCGTGGTCCAGGCGCCGGATGATCTTGATCTCCCGGAGGGCGTGCTTCATGCTGCGGGCGTCGCTCAGGGTGACCTTCTTCACGGCCACCTTCCGGCAGGTCCTGCTGTCCGTGGCTGACAGCACCAGCCCATTGACGCCGAAGCCCAGGGGTCGGAAGTCAACAAAGCGCCCACCGAGGTCATAGCCGTAGACACTGGCAAAGCAGTCCCCCTTCTCAGCCATCGTTGGCTCAGTGGTGGTCAGGGGACGCCCGTGGGACGGAGGGGCGGTCGGGAAAGGCCGGGTCCCAGCTGGTGGCCTCCCCAGCACACCTCATTCTGTCAAGTCCCGAGGCTGAGGGATGCTTTTTCTCGTGGTGATGTCACTGCCACCAGCTCCCTGGAGACAAGAGTGGCACATGTCCATGCTTGCTGAGCTGCAGAAGTTGGAGGCTCATGCTGTTTTCTTAACAAGCCCTGGGAGGGCTGTCCACCCACTCCTGCGTGTCCCGAGCCCTTCCCCACGCTGAGAATGGCTCATGCTTCTTTCACAGGGAGCATCTTGGACAGAGAAACTGATCTCGTTATCTATGTGAACGTCAAGGTTTCTCTCCTAAGGGACCACAAAGTAAAGATGCAGAAACTCTCCCCTTTAAGTCCTTTGTTGAAAGAAGTTCCTTCGGGCTGAAATGCTTTTGCTGCTCTGTGTTCCTTCACTGACGATGGTCCGAAGCTCGGTTGTATCACAGCCTCTGGCAGCTTCGCAGCTGCTCTCTGCGTCCCGGGCAGACTGAAGGGATCCCAACAATGAATTCTGGAGGCTTCTTGGGGCTTCTTTCTACCTCGGCCAGCTCCCCTTTCTGCCGGCTCACCTTAGATCCTGCAGCCCAAACCAGCTGGTGGGCATCGGGGAAGAAAGCCGGAGAAGCCCTGCCCCTCCCATGAGCTGCACACAAGTTACACCCAAAGTCCCAGGTCCAAGGGGAGCTCAGCTGCCAGGCCAGGCACCTCTGGAGGCTTCAGGGGGCAGCATCCTCTGTCACCCCCTCATCCATGCCTCTTCGAACGAGACTGTGCTCTGCTGGACTCCGAGAGGCTGCGGGAACCCAGCATCTTTCACACGGAGTCTCCTTCCCTGTCAAAGAAATAACGTTGGTAAATTTCCACACTCGGCTCCCAACACCTTCCCACCAGCGCATTTTGTTAACCAGCCCTGGTGTTATTTGATCTGTCCAGCCAGCCACTGAAACACTGCTTGCCCAGGGGATTCCGGGCGCGGGCGCCCAGCCCCCTCCTGCTGTGTGCAGCTCCCCTGGAAGAGAGAAGATGGACTGATTTGATAAGATCATCAAGCGGTGTGCCTTTTATGTAAATGCCTGCTCCCCGAAGGTTAACACTCACAGATTGTAGGAGGGAATGATCAGCTCTGACCTTTGAGAAATTCATTCTTTAAGCCCTCGGAACACACACATCAGCACTAGCCCGGGAGGGTGAGAGTGGACAGTAACCAGTAGCAGGCAAAGAAATAAAGGATCAATCATCTTGTTCTTCCACTTGGACTCCTTTTCTTCCCTCTTCTGCAAATGTCTTTGAATATTTTAATAACTTAATATGCAAATGAGCAATGTAATTAATTAAATGGCGCCGCTTGCTTTCCGTGTAGATGACATAAGCACACATACCAAATTGCAAGGAAATTGTATTGCTGCCCCAGTAAAGGGACTCTCTGCCCAGCTGAGCATCTCAGCGTGACGCCAGGGCTGGCATGGTGGACTGTATTCTTTTGGAGGATGGGGACCTAGCTCTTCAAAGCAATGGGTCAAATCCAATCCTGACTGCTCCCCGGTGACTGCTGACTCCAATTACAGGCATAGGACCCAAGGGGGGAGAAAAAAAACTGCAAAACTAGCGATATAAATTCAGCCTGAGGAAGTCACAGGTTTTATAAGTTTATTAAGTCCACAGACTCACAAAGAACAAACACCGTGTCCAGAACAGAGGCGTGAATCTAGCCAGGGCTGCTTCTGCGTTCCCATCCCACGGCAGGGGGCCCGTGGGGATACTTTCAGGTCTGAACCCCGCACAGCTCTGCAAATGATAAATGAAGCAAAACAATGGCCAGTGCTCTGAAACTAAGCAGGCAAATTAGGGGACACAGATGATACGAAGTAGTAAATAATCAGATCCCCTCTAAAAACTCCCAATGAAAGAAATTTGCCATGGGTCTGGGACACAGTCCCTGCTCAATAGATGCTGCCTATTGTTGCTGTTGTTGCAGATCCCCTTACACTTAAATAGGAAGTAGCTCCAACTATTCTGGTATCTCAGCAAACCCTCAGCAAACCTGCTCTGCATGTTTTTATTGGGCCCCGCAGCAAAACAACCATCGACTTGCAGAATTTCAGACTGGGAGGCAATGTAGCACACAGGTCCCGGGTCCTTAGCGGGGGTGGTCCTGCCCTCCTGGGCTCATTTGAGGAGGAGCCACTACTGGCCTTTCGAGAGCAGGGCCCGATTCGCTAACCATCCTGCAGAGCATCGCCATCAGTGAGGAACCTGAACCCACCCCAAGGCCAGCCCCTCCACTGAGAGGCAAGCCCTCGTCTGCCCATGAGGGCACCGAGGCTCCGAGAATACCAGCTCCGTGCGTCTACAGAGAGAGGGTCAATAAACATGGGATGACATGATAAATGAATGCCATTCACCCTGAGGACTCCCAGCCAATTGGAGTCAGCGCTGGGACCACCCACTGAGCTACGGCCTAACATCTGTGCTAGTGAAGTCCACCTGGATGTCTGATTCAGGGGAACAAGAGAGGGGCCGCAGTGCCCCACTCCATGCCTCCTCTGACCCTGCTGCCCAAGGCAGGTGACAGAACCTAAATTGGAGCTTCTTTCACTTTCTCCCCATATGCCTGGTGTGGTTCCCAAGGGCAGATATCCTCCAGAATATTTCTATTTACATATTTTGCTTTCTGAGCAGAGACTTAAGCCTTCTTCCCGTTCCAGCCCTCACAGGGCTGTAAACAGCGACGGGAATGGGCACCTAGGCAGAGAGATGACATCACCAGCAAGCCGAAAGCAGGATTTGGATCAGCTGTGTGAGATCAGCTGCAATGCAGATAATCTGTGAATAATTAAGAGGTGCTTTATTTATGTTTCAAAACTCTTTCCTTTTCCTCTCACAGGGGCAGAGGGACTGTCTCGTGTGTGTGTGTGTGTGTGTGTGTGTGTGTGTGTGTGTGTGTGTCTCAGTGGATTCCCAGCACACTGTCAGCTTCAGCGGGCAGGTACCAGGTTACCTTGCACGCCCTCTCCACCTTCCTTGTGGGCCTCTAAACTTACTCTTTCAGCTCCTGCCTGGCCTCTCTGCTTGCACCTTCCTGGTTCCTGAAATGTTCTCCTGCTTCCTCCCCATGTTGAAACCCAGCCCATCACTCAGAATCCAGGCGAAGTCTCACTTCCTCTGCGATGCATCCATCCAGTCCTCAGTGACACTTCTCCCCTTTCCAAACCCCTGTGGCGTTCCTGTGTATACTGTACTTGACACTTGCCATATCCTCACTTGGGCTGTTATTTAACTTTTGATACATGTCCACCTCCCACTAGACTTTAAGCTTAAGTCCAGGGTTCAAAGTAGCACTCGGAAAAGAACTGGATTGGACCCAAAGTGCCGGAGGAACATCGGTTATGTCTCCGCCACTGTGATGCCCACACTCCCTAGGCCTCCCCTTCCTGTGCTTGCTGCTCCAATGCAACGTGCTCAGCAGGACCCTTCTCACAATTAGCGCCAGCCACTCAGACAAACCAGCATTTCTGAACTTCAACTTCCTTAGCATCATCTTCGGCTTCGATGCTGCCTCTCTTAGAATGTCAACACGGACCAGGCAGCCTTCATCTGACCATTTCTCTGTTCCCATTTGAGTTTGCTACTATTCATTTCTTCTCAAAACTCTTCATTTTCTAAGCTTCTTTCTATCACCTATATATACAAAAGGCTAAGTGACCGACCATCCGTCCGTCCCACCGTCCGACTGACCGACTGGCCAGTACATATGACACGCACTGGCAATTTAAAAATAAATGTTGACTTGTCCATGTGTGATACATATAAAGCTCTCTCTGGCACCAATTGCACGCGTGTGTTTCAATCTGTCATTGTCGATCGTGAATTTGGTTTTTTTGACATTCTGAAGCTGAAAGAAAGTGGTGTCGTGGACAGAATATGCGAACAGTGATATTAAAATATTTCTTCTAATTAATTTTCTCTCAATGTGCATGAATCCATGCACTGGGCCACTGGTTCTTCTATAGTTTCTACTGTCAACCCTTTGATTTTTCCACATATGGACTGATTACAGAACACCTATTACCTAAGAAGTCTTGGGTTAGTGTTCATTGCTTGTGTGATATACCAAGAGGTGTGGGCCCATCCATCCTGGCGAGGGGTAGACCTGGCATCTGGGTGTGCCCGCCTGGGCAGAGGATTGAGTATGGCAGCCCTTGGCATGATGAGCTTCAGGGAGAAGCAGCATCAGTCTCCACTTGGAGCTGGTGGCTCAGAGCTGCTCTGAATCACAGTGTAACTTTCAACCAGGGACTTGGCATTCACCTTGAGAGAAAGAAAGGTCATAGGTTCAGCTGTGCTCAAATAACACCCAGCAAGGAGAAGGCAGTCCAGGCTCCCTGGATTTCACGGGGAACAAACACAGGAGTAGAAATATCTACCCCAGCACTCGGAACAGTGGAGCTTCACCTCTCCGCTGATTTCTCACTAGCTCGCCAGAAACATCTTATTTGAGGCCAATTAATTATCCTCTCATGCATCCAACCTTCTAACATGTGGAGGCAAACCAGAGGTGAGGTGGTGTGTGCCAACTGTCCTTTCTGGGATTCCTGAGGCTCTGGTTTACAAAGCAGCTTCGGAAAGTCTAAATTTAGACTCACCTCCTCGCCTGCTCAGAGCCTCCCAAGCCTCATGCTGTTGACTTTCAGCAGGAACTACGGCCCCCAGTGAGGTGCTGACATTTCACAGACTCTGCTTTCTTCCCTCTCCTGAGCCCCCAAAACGTGCAGGAAATCCTTCTCAGACAGGGATCATGTTCATTTACAGGTGAACAATTCTATGTGGCACTGTTCCCATCACAGCCAGGTCTGTGTGACTCTAAGGTTTGTGATCCCAGTCACTGTGTCTATGTGAATGAAGTCCTCTAGGCCAGAGACCAGCAAATTCTTCTATGAAGGACCAGAGGATAAATATCTTAGCCTCTGCCAGACATACAGTCTCTTCTTCAACCACTCAACCCTGCCTTTGCAGCACAGAAGCAACCACAGACAATACCCAAATGAAGGGCATGACTGCATTTTAATAAAACTTTATTTAGGAAGATAGTAGAGAGCTGGATTTGGCCTGGGGGCTGTAGTTTGCCAACCCCTGCTCTAGATAGTGTAGGAACTCCTTCTAGCTTGTTCCTGAGAGGGCACCGAAGTGTTGTAACCCAGGCTCCTTTCCAGCTCTTATTGCACCGACTTCTTCCTCTTGGACTCAGTCTGCCTTTTGTCCTTCATGGTGGCACTATTCCAGGACTGCCCTCCCTCCAAGGAGGTACCCTGAGCTTGGGACCCCAGGTTTAGTTAAGCTCACCCATAAGTTGCATGGGCTCAAGGCCCAGCTCTCTGCTCTCCACAGGCTACCTTCTAGTTCTGCAATTCTATGTCCCGTGGATGCACCTCACTCCTAAGCTGCACTTGGATTTTAACAGAGGCTTTCTAGAGAGGTGGCGAAGACGACACACTGAAGATGTAAGTATACTATTCAGGGCTTGCCAGGGGCCAAGGACTTTGCCTGATTACTTCAGTTGGGTCTCCCAAGAACCCTATGAGGTTGTTATCATTCTCCCATGAAGTCTTTAATGAGAAGTGATTTGCCCAAAGTCACACCACTAGCTGGGATGTAAACGCAGGTCTGTCTGACTCCAAAGCCCATACTTCTCATCATCATAACACATGATCTGGTTCTCACCATGAACAATCTAGGCCCAGGGTGACTTCCCAGGCCTAGCAAAGGACAAGTTTGGGGCAGGCACATCTGTGGTGCTTCCCAAATTAAAGCAAGCAGCAGCCCCCTCTCTGCCTG